AACGCTCGCTCACTCTCGCACCACACGCACGCACACACACACACACACACACACACACACACACACACACACACACACACACACACACACACACACACACACACACACACACACACACACACACACACACACACACACACACACACACACACACACACACACACATAACCAAGAGTCCTATTTTAAGTATTACAAGATCAATAAAATCTAATAAAATGAAATAATGCTCCCCTTCCTCCTTAGTTGGAGAATTTGGAGTATAGTTTATAGTGTGGTGACACGTTATTGGACATAATTCACCTCTCGTACTGCTGATACTGTAGCAAGTTAGATTAAAATGCAGTCAAAATGAAAACAGCCATTTTGATTTCAGAGGTTTATTGAAGTCTGCCAGCTGATTGGTTGGATTCAGATAAATGGAGCATGAATGAAAACAGCAATTTTGTATGCTATCTGTTTAAATAATTGAATACATAATTATATTAATACATGTGTGTATTTTGCATTTGTATCCTGTTTTTACACATAGTCAATCTAAGGGCAACACATGACTTTGTTTGTGTGTACATACAAATATATGTACTGAGAATATTTGGTACATATTTGACGTGTCTCAAACAGCTACAATTATATTTTCATTCATCACAGGTTAAAGTATATCATAATTCTGACAATTGCAATCAGTATATATATTTCAATTTGTTCTGGAATGAAACAGGAAACAAATACACATTTCTGAAATATAAATTGTGACACTGCCCCAGGAAAGTTAATGATCCAGTTCATTGTTCATCAGTTGTCTGAGTGTGATATACAGGTTAACAGTTTCAAACACATCATTTGTTAATTTCAGATTATACTCTGACATTAGATCCACACAGATATGGAACACATCTTCATCACATGGGAAGTCCTTGAACACACACTCATCAAGGCAGACTTGAACTTTCTCCAGGTCCACGTGGTACAAACAATCTCTGCCTCCATACAGATGAGGGACTGCATGCAATATGGAGGGACGTCCATGGGGTGATCGTGAGTTATGGACTTGACGGACTCTGTGATTGTTCCAAGTCAATACAACCTCATTAAGTTCTTCCTAGGAGGCAAATAATATTCAGTCAAATAGAATGTATAAAAATACTGGGCAGTGGTGATTACTGCCTTAGTCAAGTATACTCCTTGTAGAGGAAACTTCTGTGTAGCTATGCAGTGGGAGTCACCGACTCAGGAAGGAGACACGGGAAGAGCAGTAGCTTTGATGTCAAACACATGATGGTTTATTTGGAGTTACGGCCGGAGGATTCACATCACAAGTCCAAGAGTCAGAGGTTCTGACTTCACGGTAGAGTTGCCACGTCAATTCTAAAGAACTCTACCCCAGACCCATGTATTTAGCTAGTTCAGAGAGCATCATCAACATGCTGCATAACAAGATAGAATGATAACACCTCTATCAGCTGATGCCAACAGGCAGGAACAGGGAGACAAAACACTGAGAGCACAGCAGCCAAGGTTACAGGTGCCTGTGCTCAGTCAGGACAGTTTGAACTGATACACTGGGTCAAAGTTATGGGCCTTGGAAAATATTCCACAACACTCCTGACCCATGGTTTGTTATATTTGTGAGATGTGTCTTCTAGTTGTACTATGGTAGGTTGGCACAATCATATTAATAACTGTAAAATGTAAATTGCAGCAGTGCAACTAATGTTATATCTTAACAGCTATAAAAATGTGGTGGATAAACCCGAAAATAAACCCTACTTATTTGACACAGCTACTCTGAATACCCACATATTTTTGTTAGCCAGAAACAATAACTTATTATTCACTCTCTCCACGGAAAACAGGCAATTTCTATTTTACACATGGTCATTTGTGGCTCTTTAAAAATATTCACCACATTCAACATTCATTTATTTCATAATGTGACAAGTACCTGTATTATTTGTAGAAAGCAGAACTGGATCAAGGACTTGTCCAAGAAGTTGTCTGAGAAGTAGCCATCTACACTCAGTTTGTCAAAAAGGTCCATCCAAAACTGGACACACTCACTTCGCAAGGTCAGCCACCATCGTTCAATACGTTGGTTTCCAGTGCTTGGACCAAAGGTTACATTGTCTGTTTCAGCTTGGTTCTCAGAAAAATGCAAAAACTGCTGCATTTCAGCCATATGGCCATTTTCTGTTCCTAAATCAAGTCTGAGTCTGGCAGGGCACCCACCAGCTTTGATAACAGCATCAATAAAGTAGCTAGCGATGATCTTCGGGTCTTTGTTTGTTTTGTAAGCTTCAAGCCATATCATCTTTCTGGAAAACCCGTCAATGCATCCACTGATTGCAATTCCAAATGGCTTAAGCTTGTCGTAACCATCAATGTGCCATACATAGTTTGGACCACAGCTGTGGTAGATGCGCCTTCGCAGTCTGTTTCTTGACCTCAGATCAACACCTTCACCATCCAATAACTGTAGCAGTATTCACACTGTTTCTCTGTCAGTCACAATTCCATGTAACCAACATTTTTGGTGCATCCATCTGTAACCATGACACTGACCAGATGTTTCCAGTTGCTGTTCAATGAAGGTTGCCACCTCAGCCACATCGGTTTTATTCTTTCGACGCCAGAGCTGCTTCTTGCTTAAAATCCTTTCAAGGGTGCGTTTGCTTAGTACAACTCCATGTGAATCAGCAAGCAAATTAAGTATTTCATCTGTTGTAAATCCACGTTTAAAGTAGTCCTCAATGTACTCACAATCCATTTCCGTATCAAGATAAATAAGAGAATTCGAGCCAAAGAGCTGCTAGTTTGTCTGTTGTGACAAAGTGTCTCTTTTTATCTCATAATTATGACTTTTTATCTCATTATTTCGACTTTCTTATCTCATAATTAAGACTTTTTATCTCATTATTATGGCTTTTTATCTCATAATTTCGACTTTTTAATCTCATAATTATGACTTTTTATCTCATAATTTCGATTTTTTTATCTCATAATTATGACTTTTCATGGGGATTTTATTTTTTTCAAGTGGCGGAAATGGGCTTCCATACATAAGTTACACTCAATGTTAATCTGTTAATTGACAGGCCTGTGCAGGTGGTAACAGCTATGTCCAGCATGGGCTAAATTCTGTAGGTGCAGCTGGTGCAGGTCCTCCTCCCTCAGGCCTGGTCCTCCTCGCAGGGAAAGACCCTCAGCCCTCTCTGGCCAAACCAACAGACAGGACGTTCATAAAGCTGAGGTTTACCCCAAAGTCTCTAATCATCCATTCTGTGAATATGAGAGGGGAACAAATAGTGTAATAGATGCTTTGGAGGATAAGAAATATAAAGTTAACTGTTGAGTTGCTCAGTTTTTTAGATTGACAGGGTTTAATAACACAAACAAAAGGAGAGAAATAAAGATTGGTCTTTCAATAAATTGTGTTGATTTTGTCTTTTGAATTGTTTGTCTGAAGTCAAGTAGCTAGAACTGTTACTTATAGTTTTAATGATACAGTCTGGTTATAATGTTTGGAGGAGGCATCACAGGTAAGAGCACCATTTGTTGTGTTCCATCCACAACAAATTGATGTGTGTATTTATGTATCTACTATTTCTTGAATCATTACTGTCAGTCCAAAACAAGAGATTTTGTTTTGGTAACATTTAAAAAAAAAACATTATCTATTTTCCACTACACTATCTTGAATACTTTAGTTTTTACGTCACTACATTTATCTAACAGCTTTAACATTGTAAAGGTGTCACTTCGGACTCTGGGTAATTATGACAGCATGTCCTACTATTTTGAGACTTTGAACAAACCAGACCTTAATCTATTAATGTAGAAAATAGTCAGCACATTAAACCATTATGAAATTAATAATTAGTTAGCTCATTGTTCAAAATGAGCTCCAACTACAACAGTTAAGTCAACTCGTGCATCGGTAATAACAATAAATCAAATGATATCATATAATAGTATAACTTGTGTCTACTTTAAATACTTTAACAACACTTTCCTAATTATACTAGCATACTTTTACTAAAGTAACATTAACATGTTTAAATGCAGGGCTTTTGTAAGAGTGTATTTCGTATAGTGTAGCATGGTCTACTTGACTTATCTAACCGAAGTGATCGTTACGTTACTTTGCAAACCGTCACCCCCCCCACACACACACGGTAACGTGATTCACTTCAATTAATGATAACTACGGAGCTTGCTAACAGCAAGGCACAAGGCTACTTCTCTCATTTAGCTAGCTAATGTAAGATACAAATGCTGTCGAGCAAGTAAAAATAAAGAGCACAAACTGACTACTTACCGAGCGGCGAGCCCCGCTGTTCTCCGTCATTTTTCTCCCGGGTTGTTGTGATCACATGACTGACAAAGCCGTGCTCTGATAGGCCAGAAGTCGGTTTGATTGCATTAGGGCTCGATTGCTTATCCTGTCTGAGTAGCCCGGATGATGCTGCATCGCAATTTTGGACATCGAATTTTATACAACGAATTTTTTGACGTCGAATTTTTTTCACTTGAATTTTTGGGATCTGAATTTGAACATTCGAATTTTTTTCACTTGAATTTTTACATTTTTATTTCACATAGGTAAATTCGGAGCAAAAACATTTAGATACATGATTTTCAAAGTAATTATTTTCAATGTTATAAATTCGGTGTCTAATACAATTCAAATACTTCTGTCTCTTGTTTGCTTCCATACAATGGCTGTCAATGTTTGAAGTAGCTAATTTAATAAACATTCGCGTTTTCTACAGGTTGTTTGATTATAATGAATTATAATAAGAATGTCAGAGAGCTGGACAACCCTCAGTCTGTCAGTGGGTGGTGCCTCCATCATTTGGCGGTTGAGGAGGAGCTATCTGGAGATGTTATGGACTAACTAGCAGAAGTTAAAATGCGGCACATGAGTTGATGCTTGCTCGACTGAAGACACGGCGCAACATAGGTAACTAGTTCCTTATATCCATGTTTTTTTGTGTGGTGTGTGGAGGGGTTACTTATTTCCTCGACTATACTGTCTGCAAAGGATGTAGGTACATCACATAGTGAGCTAACATGACATCACAAACTAGCATCAATGTATTGCATCAGTTAGGTTAGGTATGTCAGCTAGCTCTGTTAGCTCTGTCACACAGCGGATGGATACGGTTTAAAGGGATACCGGTGCTAGCTGATGAAGTGAACGTTACTATCTGCACTGCTGAAGGATGTTAACTGTCCCCTCACCATCCTCTGCCTCTTGCCGGTGCTAACGGGGCTAATCATTGACAGTAAGCGAAAATGTGTGTGTCTTGGAGCGGAATAACAGGAGTATGTGTTTTGGTTACTGGAAACTATAGACGTATCTAGATTGATAAGTGTTAAGATAAAAAAAAGTACGGCACACACGTGCAGTTTATTTTTGAGACAATGTGACCACAAAGTCCGTGGCCACGTTTTACATCCCCATGCTGTCTAACTGTTAGGTTATAAACTTTGACCTTACTTGTGAAAGAAAGCTGTTTTCTTATTGTGTTTTAGCTTTATCCAAGCGTGATAATAACTTAGTGATAGTTAAATTGACTCACCCACGAGTTTCTTTGTGGACAGGGGGCAAATACAAAGCAAATGTAGTTGTTAATGTGGACAAATTAATCACTTCCTCCACCGAGCTCTGTTTTTACTGTTTGTTTGTAACCGGTGGCACTTTTAACTGCAGCAGCCATATTGCTTCAACCATGCTGAACAGATGCTAGCATAATTTCGTTTAGCAACTACTGGGACACGCTTGTCCATCACAGACCCCTTTACTGCTATGTTTTATCTAGTGTTTGTACAGGAAACAGGGACAGACAGAATTTGTAGTTTTGTAATATACATATTTGGATATTGTTAGTTTAAAAAAAACAAAACACATTTAGGATGGTAAACCTCAGCTCCTTTTTAACAAAAAACGTTGGCCAAAATGTAAGGACACTTAGTTGAAAAATAGTTATACATTGATACCTGTTCATCAGGGAGCGTGTTGAGTTTAGTCAGTGTGATTTGTCTGTTTGTTTTTCAAACATGGAAAAAGCACGTGTGGTGGGTGAGAAGTGACGGTGTACACCAGGGGTGCCCAACCTTTTTTGAACCGAGAGCTACTTTTAAAGTTGCCAGTCTGCCGAGATCTACCAGTCCAAATAGAGAGGCGTAGCCATTACTGGCAGCCTACTACAAGATACACACTTCTACTTGTATAAAACTGACTTTTGTACGATTAATACTTCATAAAATACTGAAGATCCTTTATTTTACCTCTTTAATTCTAATCTACACACATACAAGTATTTAACTGAAGTTACACAACAGTGTTGTTGATACAGAGTTGGAGTTTATTCACACCTCACATACTACAGTGGGTAATGTTTTCAAGAAACATTGAACAGTGCTGCCACATATGACACAGGGAAAAAAGAAAATACTCTGAACCCTTTCTTTGCCATTATATACAAATAGTGTTGCTACAAAAGTATAAATTAGGCTTACTAATAAGACAACTCAGATCTGAAGCTACACAGGAATCTGCTGCCAAAGTGCAATATAAAAGACAAAATTAATAGAGTCAAACCCTTTTTTGTTGCATTTTAGTAGAGTATACAAATAAATGGCTTTAAAATAGGATGCAAGCAACACTAGTTTCTTAACCTGAATTGATAATAGACTATAATCAATTTAAGTTTGCATTCTTATACCATTTTGTACAATAATTATAATGAATACGTTCAAACAAACAAAAACTTACAGCTGATTAATAACGGTATCTAACTTAATTTCTGTTGAAATGCTACTGTTATTTTTACTGTCCCCCAAAAGCGCGTCGGCAGCCTCCAGGAATGCTTCTTTCACAACTTCGCCGTCTTTGAAAGACTTCATGTGTTTCGCAAGAACGTGACTGACACGATAAGATGCTCTGGTAGCAGCCTTGCTCTTGTTGTTGGGCCTGGTGAAAATGGACTGCTGTGCATTTAGCTGTCCTTTCAGGCCCCTCACCTTTTGGAGCGTAGGGCAGAATTGGGAGGGAATTCCGTCTCGTAGCGTTTGTGCACTGTTTTGAAATGCCGCTCCTAAATTACCCTTCTTCGATAAAGCCACGCTCGCATTGCAGATGAGACAGATGGACTTTGAATTGGAATAGATGCACAAATAATCATCCTCCCACTCGGAGTGAAAATTATATATTTTGGGCTTTCTTACTTCTGCCATAATTGCGGTCTTGTGTGTGTGCGGACTGGCACTCCTGTTGACACGGACAACGTCAGCGAAATAGTGCCCACTGCCCACCAGCCACGCCCCGACACATGGGGTCACGCAGGCCAATCACAAAGCTTTGATGCGTTCAAGTGCATTATTCTGGCACAGGGAGATTATGCTATAGGACGTTAACGATAAAACAGAATATTGTTGTTCTATTTTTAGACACATCTCTCGATCGACTGGTTGGGCACCCCTGGTGTAGACTGAGGTTGTTGCAGAATGTAATGTAGTGTATGTGTATTTATCATGTATACATTCTTGCAAGCTCAGCAGACCAAATCTCTAGGTGGCTTTGCTTGCATACGATTGGATCCTGGCCAGGTGGAAACTCAGTCTGTGCAGTTTTTTTCTTCTGTACATTCTTTAAAAAAAAAAGTACATGGAAAAAAAACCCTGGAGTGTTGAATACAAACGTATCAAAGGATCAAATATCATTATCATTATTCAAATGAAAATCATGTGATCGAACAAGGTGTACATTATGTTGTCATTTTTTATGTACAACCGCTTTAAAACGGCACTATCAATTATGCAATTTGATAGAATCACTGGACTACATATCGCATACAAATATGTCTTGTCAGGCTTCATGTAATGCGGTTGAATTTGTCCAGCCAGTGTTTAGATCAATCAGCTTTCTGTGAGAAGCTACTGGCAGCTATGGCGTGGATTAGATGTGTACGAGTCGACTGTTTTTACAAATCAATAATGGTGGCTCCTCAAGAGGTATTAGATGCTGCAATAACATCAGGTAACTGAACCATTACATTAGGTTTTGCTATTCATCTAGATTAAAATAAACATCAATAGCCCCCCCCTTTAATCTAGCTTGTTCATAATAAGGGCCTCAATATTTTTGGCATTGCTTATGACACTCAGCTGTTTTAGAATGGAATCCATTTCAACGACAGTTCAGTGAGGGTGGTTTATGGTTAATGTCTGCTTCATATATGCAAACCATAAATCTGCATAGGCATTCATTTAATCCATTCACTCACTCATTTATTTACTCGTCTGCAGTTACCTACTGGCCCCAAGTGTCCATTAGGAGTAATATACCAATGATGAGTCAGAATCACTTACTGCATCTCCTCTTGGCACATTTTCTGAGATGAGCAAAGCACTTCTGTGACATTGCGTTTCTTTTTCTTTTTTCTCGCAGATTATCCCGATAGAGAATTAATCTGTGGATTCAACAATGGTTCTTTGAAACAGGCAGTCTTAGCTTTCCAGTCACACTCCCACCTCCCTCTTTCTTCTCTTGGTGTACACCCCTCTTTTCATTTTGACCAGTATTTTATTGTTCTACAATTTCAACCGGTCTCAGTTTACGCTGCTGGTAGAACGTCTTTGTCACTCCCAGTCACGTCCCTGTTAACTGCTCTGAGTCGAGGCTGAAGGCTGTACATCCTCCACAATGGTTGCTGAGGGGGACTCGGCGTCTCAGGGCAGCGGCGTGCGGCTGAAGCAGGAGATTTCCCTCCTCCATGGGGTCTGTCTCATAGTGGGAAATATGATAGGATCCGGGATCTTCGTATCACCTAAGGTAAGAGACTCTGCTTTGTTACTACAATCAGTCTGCATTGATTTAAATATATTTTTGCAAAGACAAAATAGGAATAGTTTTTAACTCTTCGTCTTTTTAAAAGGCATTCTATAATTTAAACATTATTGAATCTGAAATGAGTATTTAGTGAATAACTTTGAGAAAATGGGGTTTTGGGTTATCTTGAAATCAGAAGTGAGACAATCTGATGTTTTATTTAAATCTTCATGTTCTCTTTTTTGATAAGTGATAGTTTCTTATGTGCTCACTGTGATTTCCCATCCTGCAGGGGGTCCTTAAATATACAGGCTCATATGGCCTGTCCCTGGTGGTGTGGGCCATTGGAGGGATATTTTCTGTGTTTGGAGCGTTATGCTATGCTGAGCTAGGAACTACTATCCGTAAATCTGGAGCGTCCTACGCCTATATCCTGGAGGCCTTTGGAGGCTTATTGGCTTTTATACGGTATGGAGTTGTTTTAATCTCTCTGTTTGCACACAGTTTACTTGAACTCGTTGCTTTGTTTTAATGTTTTTTGGACATGGACATGGAAGTTAGTCTCAAACTAAAGCAATTCCAAAAACTAGTGAACTTTACTAAAGCCATGTTGGGTATGTAAGCCTTTTTATGATTTAAGACCTATCCATTCTGCTGCAGACTGTGGACGTCGCTGTTGATAGTGGAGCCAGCCTGTCAGGCGGTGATCGCCCTGACCTTCGCCAACTACTTGGTCCAGCCCTTCTACCCCTCCTGCCCCTCCCCATATGTCCCCGTCCGCCTCATCGCTGCTGCCATCATAGGTCAGGCTCTCCATGTACTTCACATAAGTGCATGCCATATGTAACTTCTTGTATGTGTTTTAACATTAGTGGTGAAAGGACACGGGTTACCTGGGTGAGTCTGCTGTGGGTTTGACCCCTATGTCGTATATTGTTATTTACAGTATCCATAGTGAGAGGAGGGTCACTGGAGCTGTTTTTGCAGGAAGGGTTGACTAGAATCTCTTGCACTCCAGCATTAACAAAATTCATCTTCAAATGTGATATTTACCCACAGCATCACTTTAAAAGGCTGAGTGCATGTGCAACTGTTAAGCCGTCTCAAGTCCAGTATTGTTGTTGCCTTAAAGTTTTCATGAAAAACACAGGTTCAAATAAAATTAATCTTAGTTTATCTGTTTAGGTGTTAGGACAGTATTCAACATGTTTTGAAACTGCCTTTTCTTTTGCACCCTGCACTTGAGCATTCTTTTGCATTGACGGTTTTGTTGGGTTCAGAATTCCAGAAAAGACAGACAACTTCTAAGTTTAACTATTTATTGTAAAGAGAGCAAGAGATATATATATTACTTGGCCAAGTACTCGTCACGTCTTTGGGAATCACAGGCAGCAAAGCTGTAATCTGTAACCACCAAATCCGTCAAGAGCCTCGAACCTCGTGCGACAATACATTTTATTACACAGGGCGTTGCCCGTACATTTATGATTGGTCAAGACTAGCTGAAGAGATACCACGGTTTAGACTTGGTTCTCTTTGGTTGGTGCGCAGACTCAGATAGTCTCTTGGCAACACGATCCTCCAATAAGCATTCGGCCGGCCTGTGGAAGTCCGTCCCTACTCTGGCACCATCATACTAATTTGTTTTCTCTAACGTTTCTTCAGATATAGTGGGAAACCATAATGTTGCTTCCTAGCTTTGCGGGGGAGCGCGGCTCCCATACAGAGTCAAGGCCGGTGTGATGTGCTGTTCTGACTACCTCTTTGTGTTCTCTCAGTCTCTGCACTCGACCTTGATACTTTCAATATTGCAAGCTAAACTTTCTTCTGACTGTTCCCCTCGTTGGTATCTAACCCATCAGAACCTGGGATTAGTGATTGTGTCTATTTATTCTATAGTCATAGCAATCTCATGAGCACAATAAGCATATCATGTAATAATAAGAATCAGTCTTGTAATGTTATATAAAAATAGACTCCACAGTTTCATTTAATTTGCGTTTTTCCTCTTAGCTGTTGATAGTATATGTTAACCCTTTTATGCAAGTCCCTTTTTTAAGTCATTTGCAAACTGTATGTTTTAAGGGTGGATTTAGAAGAAGCTTTATCAATAGCTGCAAAGTAAAACACTATTTTCTAAACATAGCAGCTTAATCTATTTGTATTGCATTTATGGGGATATGTCTGTAACTACACTTAATACCTGTCAGTTTCCCCTCTCACTCTGCCTTAAGTCTGCTGTGCTTAGTGAATGGCATCCCTTAAGCTTTGTTCAGCCTTGAGCCTGTTGGGTTTGTTTGGATAGGATCTAAAGTAATGTGCTAAGTCTGTTGTACTGACTGATCTCTGAGGAAGGGACTGTGTGACGGGGCCTCACATTCTGTATCAACAGGACGATCTGCCATCTAGCTTGAAGGAGGAAATCCTGTTACTAGTTTCTGAACGCCCACAACACCTTGTATCAGTGCTCCTCCTTCCACAAATACAGAGTGCAAAACAGAATTTTAAAGTTAATACATACAAATACCCCTATCCAACCAATTCACAAATATTCAGTTAAATTATTTGAAAATAAATAAATCAAGCAGATTTCTCCAGAGCTTCTTGAGTTTTAATTAGAATTCCTGCTTACGTTCTCCTCTCTGCTTGTGACCACCATTCAGTATAAAAACCATGTTGAGTTTATATTTGATAAGTGTTCCTGTCTGCTTTATCTTTATTAGGTCTGCTGACTTTCGTGAACTGTATGAAAGTTAAATGGGGAGCTATTCTTCAGGTCATTTCCACCGTAGCAAAGGTCCTAGCTCTCATCGTCATCATCATTACTGGCCTGATTAAGCTTGGACAAGGTAGGATGTCCGAGAAAATCTGTTTCATTGAATCCATTTAGGAATGCTGGAGATGGTTTAATACATAACATCAGTTAAAATCAATTTCTTAGAAACGGTAAAAAGGTGAATATTGCTCTACCTCTGCTCCAATTTTGATACGACTTCTGATTTTGACATTGGGCCAGCTCACTCAAAACCCTACCTATATTAGAAGCTGGATTAAATATTCATGAACAATTTAGTCGAGATAAAAGAAAATCATGTTAACTCCTCTTTACATGTTGCTGTAGGTTTCAACCAGAACTTTGAGGACTCCTTCCAAGGCTCCAAACTGGACCCCGGTAACATGGCCATGGCCCTCTACGCGGCCCTGTACTCCTACTCAGGCTGGGACACGCTCAACTTCATCACAGAGGAGATTAAAAACCCAGAGAGGTACGAGCTCTGGCATTTCAGATTTTTCTTCTTTTTTTTTTTTTTACAATAAGCGCGACTTGATTTTAATTCCTGATCGAATTATTCTTGCTTAGTTTAACTTGAGCTACTGTAAATCTAGCATTTCATAAATCTGATTCAAAACTAAGTCATCTTACTTGGGAATTCCCAGGTCATCATGCGCTCACTTTACACCACAGTAACAGACTCACAGATACAAATATTTGTATAATCTGGATTCTCTAAACCTTCAGTAATACTGTTTTTTTGTGTGTTCTAGCAATTACTTTCCCCCAGGTATTTGTCAATAAATATAAGCATTGAGGTAATGATATCACTTATTTCATTTTTAGGAATCTGCCTTTGTCCATTGCTATTTCCATGCCCATTGTCACTGTGATCTACATCTTGACCAACATCGCTTACTACGTGGTGATGGATGCAGACCAAGTGCTCACCAGTGAAGCTGTTGCTGTGGTGAGTCAGCAGTAACCAAATCTGACCATGTGAAGTCTAATCTCTACCTTTAAACCTAAAGGACCAAAGTGACAGCATCCTCTCAGCCCTGTAGAGGCAGCAGGTTTAGATATCTCCTCCCTCTCCTCTCCTGTCTTCTCTTCAGTCTGGCTGGCAGCCACTGGCTCTCCAGTCTGCTTCAGCAGACTGGTTATCTGTGCCTGTAGGAGTCGTGATGATAGCAGGAACCTCATTTAGCTAAAGAGGTTGGTGCCCCACACAGGAAAATGGGGAAGCTGATGATGTGATTAGTGCCTCAGAGGAGGAAGTATTGTACTGGTATTTGATCAACTAAGTCGGTTGCAACAACACATATTTTTCTTATGTTTCCAAAACCAGATTTGTCCAATATTAGAGAGGGGTGATTGAATTCACTACTCAACACCACACTGGAAGTTAATTATATTTTAACGTAAATCCTGTTTGGCACAAGCATTTTGAAGCTCAACAAGAGAAGTGTTTGCAATCAAAAAAGCTTTTGTTGAGTTTTCAGAGTGTGTTTTAAGTTCGATTACAAGATATCATATTGCTGTTACACTTTTATTCAGCTCTTACCCAGAAATGAAGCCAGGACTTCTCATCTTGTGCAGAATAGCGCTAGTCAAAGTATGAGATTAAGTAATATTTATTTTTCATTTGAAAAAGCACAGATTCTCGCATGCATCCAACAATCTATTTTACAGCTGGTATAAATAATGGTATTGACTGGGTTGCTGCATTAGGAGTCTTTTTATTACTGTCTTTTGTTATTGTCTTGACTCTGTAGAAAACTGTGGGAAATCAAAAGTAGAGTGCGAGTGTTCTTTTTTAGGAACCACACTGACCTTCAACTACACCCGGTGATGTTAAAGTATTAGGATCACTGAGTTAAAGATACAAATACATTTAAATGATTTACACATTGTAATTAAACCTACAATTTGAGCTGAGTTTCACAGATTCAAATACATATAACAAAGTCGCACTATTACATCAATGAGGGCAGTGAGAAACTCTTGGATGTCTCCTCAGACGTTTGCCGACGAGGTGCTGGGCTGGGGTCGATGGATGATCCCGCTCTCTGTAGCCATTTCCTGTTACGGAGGCCTCAACTCCTCCATCATCGCTGCCTCCAGGTCGGTACAGACATCTCATTACTGCCTGTAAGGTTTTGAATGTTAAACTCTAGGAAACACAGTATGTGTAACACCTTTTTGTTTCCCCTGCAGGTTGTTTTTCGTCGGATCCAGAGAAGGTCACCTACCTAATGTGCTGTGCATGATCCACATCAAGCGTTTCACACCAATCCCTGCTCTGCTTTTCAATGTCAGTATCACACATGGTTTCTTATTACATTTTATTCTTGCTTGTTTTGATTCCTTTTGGATGTCCCTGATGCGTTCTTTACCAAATTGTGTGTTTGATCTTCTGTTTTCAGGGTGGCATGTCTCTGTTATACCTGTCCGTGCCTGACGTTTTCCAGTTGATCAACTACTTCAGTTTCAACTACTGGTTGTTCATCGGCCTGTCGATAGCCAGCCAGATCTACCTTCGCATCAAATTTCCCGATATGCACAGACCTGTTAAGGTACATAATTAGTTTTACTCCACCTCCCAGCAGACCCGGCGGCAGACATACGTCTCTGGGCGGGCATTTGATTTACCAGGGCGGGCCCACACTGAAACTTACATTTCCCGGGAAATCTGAATTGTCAACGGGGTGGGGGTGAGGGAGGTGCTCGTGAATTGTTGTTACGGAAACTGAGGGGTTTTAGGTTGCCATAAGGCTTTTGACGGTCTTATTGCAGGCTACATCCATTGGTTGGTTTTGTGGCACATTTGTAACGCTGTGCCAACATGGGCAAGCACGCAGGCTGGAGAGGTGGAGTGAGGTTGAGCGATGGAGAGAGCGTGTGCAGCGGTCTGCTTGCGCACAGAGCAGGAGTTTGTGAGAGAGCCGGCTTGAGTCAATTTCTCTTCAAAATATTATTGATTGCCAGCCTCCCTTGTCCCTGGCTGGCTTGCTAGCTCGTTGGTAACGTAACTGATTTCTTCCAATGTCCTTTCGTGAACCACTTCCTGATATCCATTGTTGCAGACAGAGATGGGGTCGTTACTAAAAAAAAGTAATATATTACATATTACTTTAAAAAAAAGTAATATATTACACTACTTCGTTACTCTCTACATAAAGTTACTCGTTACTTTACTCGTTACTTTACTCGTTACTTTACTCGTTACTTTACTCGTTACTTTACTCGTTACTTTACTCGTTACTTTACTCGCAGGGCCGGCCCGCCCCTCCCTACAGGCAGATCACGCAGACTGCGGCGCACCTACAGTGTGCGCGCCACAGTTTTGCCTCTGCGAGACTCCACTTGCACCCCCAATTACTATTGCATTAAGGAAGACATAACACAAGTCTTTCTTTTTATATGCTCTAAAATAGGCTACCAGCCACACAACAAGCTAACAGTCTGTGAAACGTCAAGACACTAATTAATGAAACCAGTTCAAGACGCATTATTCTTATCATTCTTTTTGAGCGCAGTAAAGGTAAGGTATCTAATTACTTATGTATTTAGTATTCCATAACTTAGTAACAGAGATGGTCAAACTAAAGTGGTAGAGACACGGCAGAATTCCTACAATGAAGCGGGACATTGAACTGTTCACCGTGAGAGGGCGATCAACAAAAGAGAGCGAGCGCCCCGTTGAGGGAGTTTACAGATGACTCAGCCATGTTTATGCAGCACTGCACGTGGAGATGTGGTCTCGCAAGTCGCGCAGATTACATAGGCCTACATGTATATAAACCTGCGGCGGAAACCCCTCTAGTCTGTCAGTGAGTGTGATTATTTTATAAAAGTAATGAAGTAACGCGTGTCGGGGCAATGTTATTAACTGTAGTGTGATTACTAAATTATAAAAGTAACGCGTTACACTACTCCGTTACCGACAGAAGTAATATTATTACAGTAGCGCGTTACTTTGTAACGCGTTACACCCAACTCTGGTTGCAGATAAATATAAATGATAACAGCCAAACTAACCTAACAAGAGTAAACTGACAGGCTGCTGTGCCGCGTCTCACTCAAAAACCCACACGACTCAACCCAGCGAAAAACCAGTGTTGCGCGCAGCCTTTCATTCAGAATTTCATAGCAAAATAAAAAAATGATATTAAACTAATCTTTCAACATAGTTTAAAAATAAATATTAGGACAAAGCCCTACAAATAACAAAAAACATAATAATAAAACAATTAAAATGTTGTATTCAGCCCTGATTAAAACAGCGGGCCCAAATCCTGGATGGCCGGGTCTCCCTCCCACACCTTAAACATGCAGAGACGAGAAGTTGATGTAATCATGTAAACTCAGTGACACAGAAAAAAGTACAGAATCAGAAATGTTAGTGACAGATCTGAGGTCATGCAATTTATACCACATGTTATTGTTGAGTCATATTTCTGTAGTTATTTTTAATATCAATATACTCACATATTTTTCTAGATTCATCAATGAATTGCTTGGTCTATAAAATGACATAAAATACTGAAATGTCCATCCCAGTATCTTAAAGTCCAAGGAGATGTCCTTAAATGTTTTTTTGTTGATCCAAAACCCAAAGATATTTAGTTTGATATATTACAAAGAGAAATACAGGACATCTACATCTTGAGAACAGCATTTACCAGCTGAAAAGACTCTTGATACCTTGAGAAATGTAACGAGGGCTTTCCCCTTTGCCTTAATCCTGTTAAAGAGATGCATGCTGGGTAAACAGAGCAACCCTTGGCCAAATGTATCATATAATGACATTACTTAAAAATCCTCAGTCTCCTGGTTATTTCTCCATCAAATCATTGACCGTCAACAACCTTCAATAGAACTGAACAGAAAGCGATATACACGGCATAACATAAAGTAAGAAAATACAAAAAGCTGCAATCTGATAGAGTAGGTGCTACCTTTACTTATTCAAGCCTTACAGACCTTTGTTTACGTTTGTTTACCCATCAACACTACCCTCAGACGTGGCTTTGAGTTATGACTATCCTAAAAGACAATTATGTTTTGAATTCACTTAAGTTTATTTGGTTATCTTAGTAAACATAAAAATGACTGCACTGCATATTGCCTTAGCAGTTAAGGCCACAATCATATCATCAGAGGAATATTGTTTGAACTAATTGTATTTGTCAATGTAATTGTTTTTAATCATTCTGTTTCTCTCCACCCAACCTTTTTCATACCCTTCATTCCTCGTTTTTCTGCTTCCTCATTCTTTCTTTGCTCTCGTCTCCCTGCCCTGCAGCTGTCTCTGTTCTTCCCCATCGTGTATTGCTTGTGCAGCGTCTTCCTGGTAGTTGTTCCCCTCTACAGCGACACCATCAACTCTCTGGTGGGGATTTCTGTGGCCTTGTCTGGTGCACCTGTGTACTACTTCTGCATCTACCTGCCAGCCAGCTCCAGACCAGCCTTCCTCAATACAATGCTTGGTAAGAAGCTTGGTGATTAATTAGGCTCCGACTAACGACACATTTGGGCCAAATGACCCTATTTGAATTGTAGGAATTATGTTTTTATTATTCGTTTGAACTTTTATGAACAAGGATCATGCTTAAAATACATTTGTCTAAAAAAAAAAAGAAGATTATTTTGACTATAAGCTAATTTCTATCTGCAGTCCCTGGGCAGGAACACTGAGAGCAATTGCAGTCCAATGCATTTCATCACACTAACAATTATAAAGACAAATCAAACACACATCAACATATGAATAACTGCACATTCATCCAGTACAATCCATTTCAATTTTCAGAAACAAAACTATATTGTACTGAATTAATATTGAATTTAAAACAGATAAGATGGATTGCTTTTTCAAAGGTCCGATTACAATGTATGTAGGTCGATGGTAATTTATTTTACCCATAATACACACTCAATCATGATGGGGTGGACATTTTTAAAGATGAGAACTCAATGCTCTCTGGTAGACAAACTGAGTAAGCTGTAAGACATTTTCTAAATCACCTCCACCTTTATTTGACATTCTGTACTGCAATGTCTTGATTATCGACCCAAAGAATATACTGGCAAAGAGACATCTGCAGAAAGCCTGTCTGCTTAATAACATTTAAGATGTGAAATGTCCGTGAATGGGGTTTTGTGATATAATTTATGGATAACCTCTTTAAGTAGCTTACTTAACTGACTGTGAGTTGCATGTAGATCAGCTACTGCTGGGACATGAACAAATGAAAACTCCTGGTCTTAGAGTTAATAACTGTGGAGTGATTGGGATTAGTGTCTCAAAGTTCAGTGTTATGTAGCGCCCACATTCTGTAAAAGGCTCTTGAGTGCTAAAAACCCCTACAGCTGAAGAATAACCCCTCCCAATACTATTATTTTAAGCCTACATATTTTAAAGCCTTAAGTACTTTGGCTATTGTTGTCTTTTGATGTATTTCTTAAGATCTTTTGAGTGAAACCCTTGATTTTCTTTTTTTCTGTCACTGCAGATAGGATCTCTCTGTACACCCAGAAACTGTGCATGTGCTGTGTGGCTTCGCCTGATATCGACCTGGACAATATAGACCCGGAGAAGATTGAATGATGGAGCAACAAAGGCCTTGTGTGGAATGGAATAACAAGAATGAACACAAAGGAAGCTTTGAGCTGTATAACTTGATGAATGAAAGAAGGACGAAGAAGAAATGGGAGAGGTGAGCTGTACACATCTCTTCTCTCACATTTGAGCCGTATGGTAAAAGGACCAGGAATTAATAAGTACACACCCCCCCCCCCCCAAGCAAACAGCACTGTACAGATTAACTGAAACTTGAGCACATTCACATGCTTTACGCAGTGCAGTGTTGGCCATGAAGTTCCCTCCACACATGTGCCCATAAACTGCAACACACACACACACACACACACACAAAAGCTGACCGAAGCCTCAGGGTGATGCTGCGACAAATGGAAATGAACAACCTGATCCAGGAGGAATCGACTCAGCATGCCTGAGGGGATTTATTCACAAACAGGAGGCTACTGAGGAAAAAAGACACAGGTGGAACCGAAAAGGACCTTACATGTGTTTCATCTCGTGTTAAGGAAGTGAGTTACCATAGCACATGGGAACTTGCAAAAGATATGGTTCAAATCTTGGTACCTTCTTTAAAATAATACTTCACCACCAAAATGACCATTTGTACATTTATTAATAACCCTGTTACCTTTGACTCGTGAAGGAAACATTGTTTCTCACATATCTCCTGATATTTTAAGCCTAAGTGGGAAGTAATAAGCTAACAACTAGAATAATAAAGTCTGTTTGATAGTTCTGCACGAGGTGGTTGAGAGTTTGTAACTGATATAGTTTAGCCGTTTTTAAACCCAGATCCCATTTACTTATATTCACCATGAATGTTCTCATTTGGGATTCTTTGTTAGACAGAAATATCCAAGAAAAGCAAGGTTTTCTGAAATAATTCAAAGTAACATTTTGTGAGTAAAATTCTCCTGAACACTTCGCAAATATCACAGGATAGTTCATCCAAAGGTTGAAGTCCCCTTCAATCCTTTTAGTTCCCTTAATGTTATAAAATGAAGAATGATCAAGTAATTTAAAGGCGAAAACAATGATTATAAGAAGTTGAACAATGATTACATCTACCAACCCAATGATGTAGCTCTCTGGTTTTTCATTGGTTTGCATCAACATCACACGGGTCATCTGCCAGTGTGTGGTACTGGTAAACATTCCTGTTGGGAACGTTTTTTAGTTTTTTTTTGCAAGCTTGTATAAATCCCAGACAGATAACGTCCAACAACATTGTGTTTTGTTGACAGACCTCTAAATACTGCAGTGAATTTTCACATCACATTTATGTTTTATTGTACAACGTCTTTGGTCATAGGAAAGCTTTACTCTGATCTATTTCCAACCAAATGAAGATAATTTGTAATCAGTTTAGAAAAATGAGATTATTTACAAAAGCTTTTATTTCTTGCAGTTCGAACAAGCTTGTCATAAATCTGTCGCTATGTGCATCCTGCTTTTTGTAATGTATGATGTTTTCTTCTGTGACCTTCATCTTCGAATGCATCTTCAAGGCTATACTTGATTTCTAGTGCCTCCTAGTGGTAGCTGATATAAACTCCCAGGGACCAGCTTTAACGGTGTCATTCAAAGGTCCATCTTGCTGTTGCAGTCATCTTGTTCTCTGTTTTCATACAAACACACCCCGGTGAGAGGAGTGTAACATTAGTGTTATGGATATATAAAAAGAAGGTTTCTAAATATGTTACCGGTGATTGTTTCTCGCTAGGTGCCTGCGTCACTCCTCTGGGTAATGTCTTGGTAAACAAACCACTCTGTTGTGCACACGTTGATACTTATGACCTTTCTCTTTTTTCCCACTGGTTTTAAAGAGTTTGTATCACACATGAGATATTTTACTGTAATTATGCCTTGTGAATCTATCACCAACTTGGACCATGTATTCACCGTGCACAGCCAAAGCTCTTAAACAGGCTGGTCGCTTTCTGCTCAGAGCCAGTAGCAAAATGTCTCTGCTTTGTAGTGACGAATACATAGATGTAGGTGGTTGAATTAGAGGTAGAAAAAAGTGTTTTGTTTGTGCTGTAGTTCTTATAAACGCTCTGTGCCTTCTGTAAGTGCGGTCTGCCAAAGACCCTGTCTATTTTTGATATTTTCTTGTGTCTTAAGCACAATCCTATTTTTACATTTCTGTAGGATTTGCCAAATGTTCTTCAGGTAGTAGAGCAGCTTCAAATGTTGTAGTCAAGGTAAAGGTCTGTAAATTCTCAGCTGGGATTAGTAAACAGGTTTTAGATTGAACAATGTATTGTGTCTTCACTTCCTCATCACCAGCCAACAGAAGCACACGCACATTATGTTACATGTTGCTTTCTCCGCTGTCATCATTTAAACCAAACTACTACTTGTGTAGCTTGTTAAGAAGAAAACCACATGTCTGCAGTAAATACAGAATCTTTTCAATGTGATCCAATGCATAGTGTCATGTTGAGAACCGATATACTCGCGTCACAGGACTTGAATGTTGAACTATATTGATGTTTCATCTGGTACCAAATACAGACTGGGTGTTTTCCAGTACTGTTTGATAAAGTTGTTATTTGTCTTAGAAGTATGTCTTAAGTGCTTGCTATGTTGACTGTTTTTATTTATTATATTCAGAACATGGGAAAACCAAATGGCAAGAGATGCTTTTCAGTTGAGGAATCCTTGTTTGCCCAGATTGAGACGGGAAGGAGCTGTTTTATTTGAATAAAGGCATGTACAGAATGTGTGTTTCAGTCTCTGTTCCTATCCACTGAGGTGGAAACAAAGGATATCTTAACGGCAGCGGCTCACAGCCACTAGAGGTCATGGTCTCGTAAGTTCGTAACTGCATGAAGTCTCGCCAAACTGTATGGTGTGTGATCTTTAACAGTTGATTTAGCGCTACTATACTTTTTATGTTTTTGTAAATGGGTTTATGTCAAATGCATTGATGCTTTTATCCAAAGTTATCCTTAAGTTTAACAATGCATTTCTATATTCCCTTATCTTATTACATAGCAAACGGCAAATCTTTATGTTATGAACAAATAATTTCAATATTTTACTTCAACACTAATTTGGAGCTTTTCCTGAAATTATAATAAAACATTAAAAAAACAATTATTTTACATATTAGTAGAGAACTTTTAAAATCAAGTTATAAAGGACTTTGCAAAAAACAAGATAAATTAAAAGATAATATAATCAAACATAGACGTGATGCAAGGTGTACTTTTCTAGAAGGCAGTAAAAATAATGGAAAACATTTCTGAATAGAGCATTTTGAAGAAAGATTTAAAAGAACCCTAAACACCTACATGGTACAGTGCCACATTTACACTGATCATGTGTATTTCTGAATGTACACACAAACTGACCCCATGGTGTCTTTGACTGACCGTCCTCCCTCTAGCCTCCTCAGGTGGCCGGCCAAGCCCGACCTCTCCTCCACCTCCTCCCCCCGGGGCCCGCTGCAGAGGCATCACATTTCAGCAGGGTGTGCACTCTGCGCCTCAGATGCTGCCCGTCGATAGGTGAGTGTTCCTGGGGAGAGTCCTGCGTCTGTCCCTCCCCAACACTGAGGGAGTTGGGTTCCACTGAGTCATGAATAAAAGATGAAATACAGCCGAGCTCCACAACAGCTACGGTAACAGCTCTCTGCCACAGAGTGCAGCACAAAGTGAGTTTCTGGCTTTAAAAAGTCCAGGCTGCTCAGTTGGTACTCGGCTCCACTAATGCTCTGCAGGGCCTCTCTGTCTTTGTGGTGGGCAGAAGCACCGGGTGGCTGTTCCCTGATGGGTGAGGGGCCGGCACACTGTGGCACCAGCTTGGCATCATGGAGCTGCGCCGACGGCTGAACTGGATACGAAACCGACCCTGGAGGCCTCATGTCTGCCGCAGGGAGTTCAACCGTAAGTGTGGATTGAATTAGAGGATTATAGACTTTGTATGTTGGCTTTTTTCTGTCCTCAGTTTGAGTGATTCTTCCAAATTGCCTGTCTTTCCTGGGTCTACCTTAATTGTCTCAGGTGTGCTCTGAAACAGAGAAGCTTCCAGGGAACTTTAGTGACTCCTGCGGACCGTGTGTTGTTGCTGCTCTGAAATCCTCATGTGATTCATGCTTAAGGATACTAGTTACTGTTTTGATAGGTACTTGATTACTACATTTAAATAAACAGCAATATCCTCAGGATTTGCATTTTAAATGAGTAATGTACCTCAGTAATTAGTACTCTCTCTTTTTCCACCAATCAGGCGCCATTAACATCCCCCACTGTGGAATGGGTGTCAGACAAGGAGGACGTTTAGTCAGGCATTGTTTGGGTGTTTCTTAGTTTTGGAATAACATTTTAAACCAGGCTCAAGTAACATAAACTACCTCTTATAGCTTTAATCAGAAATGGAACATGCCTAGACCAGCGTCTATTTTGCAAACCAAGCATCACACCTGGTGGGTGCTAATTTAATTAGGCAGGGTCGAATAAGATGGAACCGTCCCTTGTGACACAAGCAGGCATTGGCTCAGACAGTAGGGGCTTGGATTGGGAGCTGTAGGGTCCCCGACCAGACCTAAAATATGGAGTGTGGACTGCTACTTGGAGAGGTCTCAGTTCACCTCCTGCCCTGCCGTGGTGCCCTTGAGCAAGGCACCAGACATTCCCCCCCACTCCCATTGCTCCCTGGGCGCTGTGCAATAGCTGCCCACTGCTCCTGCTAGTTAGGATGGGTTAAAAGCAGAGAACACATTTCACTGTGTGTGCTGTGTGCTCTGCATGTGTGCCCATTAAAGAGGGGTTCATCTAGTATTACTGAAGCACTTTTGTATGACTTACATTTTCAGAATAAAATCCTATAAACAACAAGATGTGGTCAGCTGACTGCAGTCTATCAGCCTTCCTCAGTGAATGTTTAATTGAAATGGCATCTGTGTTGATTGTGTAGGATCAGATTGTAGGCAGAATGTATTACAGCCCTCAGAAAATGTTATTTCTCGGTGTACAGTATTTCATTTCATCTCTGGGGATCAACTAAATGTTGTGTCACAAAGCATTAAAGCTTAGTGTTTGGTGTAGGAGTGAATGCATGATGGACTTGATAATTGTGTGCTGGGTTGGTCCAGCCTGGGCAGGGGGGGGGGGGGGGGGGCAGTGTGGAGGAGGAATCGTTGATGAACACAGTGTGTGTGTGACTGGGAGAGGACTGGCTATGCTGATGCTTTTGAGAAAGCAGGTTGTGTGTTAAACTCTTTGTCTGGATGTCATGGAAAGTCATTACCCGCTAAGAGGTGGGTCAACCGCACACACAGGAAGGAGGAAAGCAATCGTTTATATATCCTCCTGGGACCCAGCCCATTGAAAATGTCCACTGTAGTGGACATTTTGTTAACATGCATCTCCTTTTACTCTTTTGAGCTACTCTATCAATCCCTGATGTACTGTACAGAGGACATCCTGGTCTTTCCAGTGATACGTCATTGGTTAAAATTGCATGCTGGGAAGTTCCTCTTTCTTTTCATCCAAAATCGCTGGCATACGAAAAACAAAATTGTATAGAAGCAGGAGGAGAAGTCAAATATTGTTGAATAATTGTCATTTTTACCATGAAAATCATATATATTCTTGTTTATTAACATGTGAGGAACTATATAATTAGTTCTGAAAGCAATTAAATAATTCAAGTTTTCAAATAACAGCCCTTTTATAAATGTCCATTCTAGTGGACGTCAGGACTATCTTCATGGACTTAATGACTCAATATTGTTGCAGGAGACGGAACTGAAGCAGACATTTTCTGTACCAGATAGTTCAGGGAGATTCAGATTTTGAGCTCTCAGATGATGAGAGAGATGAGGCTTTCACACCTGGGATAGAAGAGGGTCAAGAAGAAGGGGGGGGGGAGATGCAGGAGGCTCCATGAGCGCACAGATACATAGACAGATAGGGACGAGCTGGAAAGACATGGCCCCCTGTGGGCCAAGAGTAGCACGTATGTCTTATTGTTGTTTTTATTTTAAGTGGAGCCATGAGAAATGAGAATTGCCTCAGGAATGTCAAGTTTGTTTCTATGAGCAGGTCAAATGGAGACCACATCCATAAAACTAGTCAAGATTACCCTACAGCCCGTGCTGACTGGAGTCAATGAGGTACTTTCCACTACATTGACTACAAAGTCTTTGAAGATCTGGAAAGATTCCCCAAAAAACAAGCTAGTTTTTTAGTGACCAAATAAACAGCAATGTTCAGATCAATTACTTATTCATGTTTTAAATACGGATACAAGCGGCCGAGATGGGTTTTCTCCGCAGGGTGGCTGGTGTCTCCCTTAGGGATAAGGTGAGAAGTTCGGTCATCAGGGAGGGACTCGGAGTTGAGCCGCTCCTCCTTCGCGTCGAAAGGAGCCAGTTGAGGTGGTTCGGGCACCTAGTTAGGATGCCACCTGGGCGCCTCCCTAGGGAGGTGTTCCAGGCACGTCCAGCTGGGAAGAGACCAAGGGGTAGACCTAGGACCAGGTGGAGGGATTATATCTCTTCGCTGGCCTGGGAGCGCCTTGGGATCCCCCAGTCAGAGCTGGTTGATGTCGCCAGGGAAAAGAAAGTTTGGGGCTCTCTGCTGGAACTGCTACCCCCGCGACCCGACCACGGATAAGCGGGAGAAGATGGATGGATGGATGGATGTTTTAAATAAAGGTGAATGTATTATTGTATTAATATCACTCTATAACCATAATACGTTACATAGTCCATCTGTTAATTTTGGCTGTCTTTTCAAACTAATATGGTCCCGACGTCCTCTACAGTGGACATACTGTAACATTTTTAAATAAAATAAAAAAAGTCTAAATTGCAAGATGTTTTTTTAACCCTAAATAGGTAGGAAATCACAAAAAAAAGAAAATTGGAAGACAATTTTTTTCCTCTGGTCCCAGGAGGATATGTGAAAAATAATTGTAATAGAAAATAATGTACAAAATAGATGAGAATATAAATAATAGAGCCACAAAATAATTTGTGTGCACAATTCAAGGGTTGGTGTATTTTGCTAAACATTTAGCAACGTTTTCTTTTACATAAGTGAAATTAAAACATTCAAAATACACATTTAGGTTATTTTACTACCATTATCTATCTGTGCCTGAAGAATTTGCATGTTGAAACATTATTTTATTAAATAACAATTGTCAAAATGTAATTTATCAACTGGGATAGTTCTATAGTGACATCTGGATAAAAGATTTGACCCTTTGTCAGAGACGACAAAAAGTATAATCAGGATGTAGTATCTGGTTACTTGAGCCAATGTCTTGCTGTTACTTTGAAGTTTTTCTGTTGTTTTATTGAAGTATTTTTCTTTGGGCCATCAGGGCCTTTATTTGAGTGACATTGTTGCAAGGGGGAGATGGAGGGAATGTCGCGGCAAATATGTCTGAGGCCGGATTCAAACCTGAGCCCAATCACATGGGCTGCCAGCTCTACTGACTCACGGCCCTTGAAGTTTTCTTTTATGCAACATTTTAAATCCATTAAGATAACAAATGATATACAACGCACGAAGAGGTAGACCCTCTAGGCTTATTTAAGGCATTCCCTTTAATAATGATAAAAGATCACTTTCTATAGCAGCAGATACAAAAAAATATGCACTTTGAATGCTACCAAACTAATCATTAAACACTTTACCCAAACCTGAAACATCCCACAAAAAATATTAAAGGCACTATTAAATATGTAGGAAATCTCTGAGATG